AGACACGGCGGCTGGGTCAAGGACCGAGTCCGTATCGAGCTAGAGTCCGGGACGTCCCTCCCCTCATCACTCCAGGAGCTGGACGATCTGGTGTTCGAGTTGGTGGCGCATAAGAACCGATTTTGGCATCGTGGCGGCTTTTCACCTCTCCAGTTGGTTTTTGGAGAAAACCCGCGTCTTCCGCATGAGCTATTGTCCGACGATCGTCGGGCTTTGCCTGGGTGGCAGGACGTCGTGAGCCCTTCCTCAGAGCAGGACGAGGCGGGAGCCGAGTTTGCCAGGGCCCACGCTATCCGAGCAGCGGCCCGTAGGCTCGCTATGGAAGCCACGGCCCGAGACAAGCTGTCCCGAGCCGCCCGGGCGAGGACCCCTGGGACCAAGAGATTTACCCCCGGCCAGTGGGTCTTCGTCTGGAGGCATTTCACCAGAATATCGTCCAGGGCCGATGCTCTGGGGCGCCGTCGTGCCGGTTGGACGGGTCCCGGGGTCGTGGTGCTTGCCGAGGGTGGCACGGTGTGGGTTGCGGTCCGGGCCCGTCTCTGGAAATGCTCAGCCGAGCAAGTCCGGCTGGCTAGCCCCGAGGAAGAATGCGGCCTTCAATTGGCCGAAGACCCTAGATGGCAGGAGCTGCTCCGTTCGGCTCAGGCGAGGCGAGTGACTGCTGTGGACGTTCAGCGTGAGGGCCCCCCTCCCGAGAGTGCCTGGGACGAGGCGGCACAGGCCGAGCTCGACTCAGAACCAAGGGTTCCCGGAGCTGGGCCGGTGCCAGCCGAGGAACGAGGACCGGAGAATCGACCCTCTCCCCCGTCAGTGGGCGGGACTCTTGGGTTTCCTCGGAGGGCCCCCAGGGGTTCTCTCTCTCGTGCCGGATCGGTTGTTGCTCAACCAGGCTCGGACAGGACCGGGTTGCCCTCCATTTCCGAGCTGGCTCCTTCAGACAGAGAGGAGTCGGCGACGCCGTCTCTCAGTCGGCAGTTGTCCCGAGGAGTTAGCTCAGGATCCGCCGAGGTTGTGCCAGGGGATCAAGAGAGTCCAGAACTCATCCCTCCTCCGTCCTCTCCTCGTCCTGTTTCCTTACCTGCTCCTGCTCCCCTTCCTTTGTCTGCGTCTCCCAGTTCCCTTTCCCCAGTCACTCCGTCTCCACCAGAGGGGGCGAGACCTAAGACGAGGGGACGCCTCACCCAGCCTGAGGATGTCCCAGCTTGCATTCGAGCTGCAAGGGCCGGGAGCGCCCCTCCTGAGATAAAGAGAGCCAGGACCGAACCCTCCTCGACTCCCTACCCTCCTCACCCCGTCGGTGGAAGTCCCTCCTCCTCCTCCGGTGTTGGGGGCCCTGGACCTGGACCGGAGACTCGGGGGCCTGTCAGGACCGGCGACGAGCCAAGGCAGTCTGTCCAGGAGCGCGTTCAGGCCATCGAAGCCCGAGCCAGGTCACGGTCGCCAAGTCGTAACGGAGGAGCCGAGGGAATAGTCGAGGCAGAGGCCACCAGCGAGTTTTTCGTGGTCCCGGGGCCGATCGACGGGCTCTCCGTCATCCCCGGGAATGTCGAGGGGTTTGTCGGGGCCGTGTGCGAAAGCATTCAGGACGGGGACACCTTCGCAGCTAGCCGCGGGGGAGAAGTGACACTCAAGAGGCTCACCCCTCAGGAGCGTCAGAGGTTTCAGGCGTCAGACGACAAAGAATGGAAGGCCATGCTGCAATCCGGGGGTGTCCGAGTCATCCCTCCGAATCAGGCGGCGAAGATACGGCAACGTTGTCCGGACAGGATCATATCCAGCCGAATGGTGCGCCGATGGAAGCCAGTTGAGGGGACATTCGTGGAACCAGAAGCGAAGTCCAGGTGGTGCGTGCACGGCCATAAGGATCCCGACTCTGGCTCCCTTGCCGTATATGCGCCCACCCCCCAGACCTCGTCTATTATGATGTTCATTCAGGTACTGGTCAATTTCAGGATGCTCGGAGACATCGCGGATGTCAAGAACGCTTTCACCCAGTCAGATCCGATGACGCGGTCCCAGGGCCAAATATATGTTGAACCTTGCGAGGGTATCGACGTTGAGCCTGGATCCCTTATCCTTTTGCTGGTGAACGTTTACGGGCTGGACGATGCTCCGGTAGCGTGGCGTCGCACTGTGGCTGGCCATCTGGAAAAGCACGGGTTCGAAAGAAGTTTGCTGGAGCCCTGCTGGTGGCTGAAGTATCGAGCAGATGGAGCCATCCAGAACATGATGTTGCTGGAAGTCGACGATTTCTTTATCGGGAGTGCGGATGCGGATGCCCGAGCGTGGATTCGCGGTATCCTAGAGGACCGCTTCCGTTTCGGGAAGTATCGAGACTGTCATGCCGGCCCGGTGGATTTTGCTGGTAGGCGTGTTTCCTTCTCTCCTGGCAAGGCCGTTGTTGACCAGGAAAAGTACATCCTGGAAGAAATCCGTCCTCTGACCCTGGCCCGGGGCCGCTTGTCTGTCAAGAATTCTCCTCTCGAGCCGTCCGAGTTTAAAGCTTTGCGTTCTCTGGTCTACAAGTTTAATTGGGTCGGCCGAGAGTCACGGCCAGAAGCGGCCGGAGTAGCAAGTATTTTGGCTAGTCGTTTGCGAGCTCCGACAGTGTCGGACGTGTCTTGCGCCAACAAGTTGGTGAAGCACCTGAGGGCAACCGCCTCTCGTGGACTGACGATCTGGCAGCTAGACCCTGAGCGTATGTCTTTCATATCGTTTTCCGATGCCGGCGGGGTTGGTTCGGTAGAGTCTCTCCAGGATGACAATGGCCTCCCAGCCGACCCCACCCAGGGAGCCTGGATGGTGTTGGCTGCCGACAAGTCCGTTCTCGATAATCAGGTGGTAAGAGCGTCCGTGCTTGGTTGGCGTAGCAGTAAGCTACGGCGTAAGGTGCCTTCGACGTTGGCCGGAGAGACTCAAGCTCTCTCGGCCGCCGTGGCGGAAGTCGAGTTTCTTCAAGTGTTGTACCGTGATGTTGTGTTCAAAGATGTTGATCTGCCTGATTGTGTGCGGGCCTCAGGGCCCTTTACTACGGTCTTAAGACGCGATTGTAGCTTGGGTTCCCGGGAACAACAGGTCCACGTGGTGGACGCCAAGTCAATCTATGATACCTTCCAGAAGGAAGGCAACGCCTCAGCCCGTGATAGGCGTACAGCTCTAGACCTCGCCATCATCTGCGAGTCCTTGGAGCGAGCCAAAGGTAAGATACGATGGATACCCCATGGCCGTATGCCGGTGGACGCTTTGACTAAGGACGACGTGACTAAGTGTAATGCCGCGCTGTTTGATTTGATGACCAACGGCAAGCTCAGTCTGGTGGACGAGGCCCAAGAGGTCGGCCGCCGGAAGGACATGCCCGAGCGCAAAGACCGCTCTCAGGCAGCCTCCAGAAGAATGCTGTCAGAGCCCGCCTGCATAGCATGGCTCGACTACCTGGACCAGAGGGCTCCTCCTGGCCTGGTTGGTGGTGGTGGTGTCCTCCCGTCCTCCTCCTCTCTTCCTCCGCCGTTATCATCCTCCGAATCCGTTTTCCAATAATCTGCTCTCTAGTTCTGCCTCTCTCTCTCTCTCTTTCTGCTGCTGCGCAAGTTTGACATTTGCAGGTCGTTTTGACACTGCCAGGCAGTGGCCACGGACCGGCGAATTGAGTTTTGGGACAGCTAAACCTAGAGAAAGTTGGACCCATGTTCCAGGGGTCCATAATCTCACGTATAGGTTTAGCTTTTGGTGTTTCACTCTGGGGACCGATGGACAGAGATCCATCTTGTACGTGTCCGTGCCACGTGTGGCTCAAGGGAAAACATTATGTCCCCTCTCCTGCTGCCACAGGGGGGAGGGCAGTGGGAGCCGGCGGGATGAAGGTGACGCGGCGGGGGAGAACGAGGAGGCAGGATGGTGTCCTATCCCAACCATGTGCCAAATCATGGCACTGCCTGCGTCAGGCTTCGTCCCAGCATGCAAGGTGGGCTCGCCCCTCCCCCAGTCAAGCTTCCTACACCGGCCCACCTCCCTAACGACGAAACGAAGACCTGATGCCCCACGGCCTAAGACGAATACGGAAGATCAGAACGGAATAGTGATCCAAGGCTTGCAATCCGTAAAGCGTCTCACCCTCTTAAAGACACGAAGACAACGGACGCATAAGGACACGAAGAAAACGGACGCTTAAGGACACAAAGAAAACGAACGCTTAGGGACACGAAGAAAACGGACGCTTCAGGACACGAAGAAAACGAGGAGGGGTGGGAGGGAGGTGACGAGGCGGGGGGGAACGAGGAGGCAAGATGTTGTCCTATCCCAACATATGCCAAAGGATGGCACTGCCTGCGTCGGGTTTCGTCCCATCATGCAGGGTGGGCTCGCCCCCCCCCATCCAGCTTCCTACACCGGCCCACCTCCCTAACGACGAAACGAAGACATGATGCTCCACGGCCTAGGACGAATACCGAAGACCGAAACAGAACACCTAAGCCTAGCCCCCCCTCCGAACAGGCACCCAGTGGACCAGCGCCTGGGAGTTGGATTACTGTGCGGTGCTATAACGCGTGTAGCCTTCCTGGCTGGAGACGAGGAGGAGGAGGAGGAGGAGGAGGAGGAGGAGGAGGAGGAGGAGGAGGAGGAGGCGGGGGGGGAGGAGGAGGAGGAGGAGGAGGAGGAGGAGGAGGAGGAGGAGGAGGAGGAGGAGGAGGAAGGAGGAGGAGGAGGAGGAGGAGGAGGAGGAGGGAGGAGGAGGAGGAGGAGGCGGAGGGAGGCGGAGGAGGAGGAGGAGGAGGAGGAGGAGAGGAGGAGAGGAGGAGAAGGAGGAGGAGGAGAGGGAGGAGGTGGGAGGAGGAGAAGGGGAGGGGGGAGGGGGAGGGGGGGGGAGGGGAGGGGGGGGGGGGAGAGGAGGAGGAGGAGGAGGAGGAGGAGGAGGAGGAGGAGGAGGAGGAGGAGGAGGAGGGGGAGGAGGGGGAGGAGGACAAGGCAGGGTTCCCCCCCTCGTCGAAGTTAGGGGCCCTCAGGCTGCAGGTTGGCCCTCGCGGCAGGACACGGAATCGAGCGCCGCCGCCGCCGAGGCGGCAGGTGCGCGCCCGTTCGGCGCGGCGGTGGGCCCGCGCCCAAGTCGCCGGACCACCCCGCCCCTGCGCCTAACTCAGGAGGTAGAGAGCACACAGACACAAATCAAGCGACGATCCCCAAGAGAATGGAGAAGGTATGGGAAGTTGAGGAGAAGACGAAGCTCCAGAACACATTGGTGAGCGTTGGGAATCCTGGGATGCGTGTGTCTATTTATGTGTGTGTCTCTGGGCCCCTTTCACTAATTCCTCCCTTCTCCCTTCGTCCATGCTTTCTTCCTCCTCGGTCCTCGGCCTCGTCCCTCCTCCAACTCTATCTCCTCCCTCTATTCCTCCCTCTTCCGTCCCCCCCTCCTCCAGTTCATATTGCCCCTCCTTCCCTCCCTAGGCCTCCTAGATGGGATCGGAGCAGTTGGGGTGGAGGATCCCACCGCACCGCCGATGCGTCGCCGATGCGTCTCGATGTGGAGCCCATTTTCTTGACGTTGACGTCGCCGATGCATCACTGACGTCAACGACGCATCGCCGATACATCGCCAATGCATCGCCGATGCATCGGCGATGCGGCGCGCATCGGCGATGCGGTTCTGACCCAATCTGCTCCGACCCCATCCAGGAGACCTCTATTCCCCCCCGGAGGAGCAGGAGGAGGAGTCCGCACCGTCCCCGCTCCTCCCTTCCCTCCTCGCCATGCCTCCTCCCCCCAGGAATAGCCGCCCCGTTTCGGCGGCGCGCACGGGGGGTCAGGGCGACAGGGGGCGGCAGCGCCCTTAACGCTCGTGATGCTCCGACCTACTTTCAGGCGATCGCGAACATGGATCAGGGGGGCGTGGACTAGCGACGGGCCCCGTTTCCACGGGAAGTCGCGGATCCCCGCTGCCGCACGAGAGGCGGCACCGGCCGCACTTTGGGGAGGGCACCTCCCCCGATCCATGGATTTGGCGACCGCGCGCCAAATCCATGGATCGCTACTCCAGATTTCGTAATAAAGGGAGGGGGGTCTCATTTCGGGGGGGGTATCTTCCAGGCTCTCTTGGAGGGCCTGGGGGGTCTGGGGACGATGTTTTGGAGGGTTCTCCCACGGGGGAGGTCTGAAATGGCTTGTCTTGGAGGGTCCAGACCCCCTCCCTTTTATTACGAAGTCTGGAGTAGTCCATGTTTGCGCGCCCGCGATCTTGGCCCTGGGTCCGGCGAGGGCCCACGCCGTGTTTCTCTTCGTCTCGTCGGCGGTCTGCGTGGGCACCCGCGGGGGCGCGAAGGCGATCGCGCTCCGCGCGCCGCGGTCCGGGCCAGATCGGTGGCCCCTCTCCAGGGGGGGCGGCGCGAGGGCGCGGCGGCGAGGAGATCATCGCGCGTCGCGCAGCGCGGGGCGCGCTGCCTCACGCGCTCCCTTACGCTCGTGAGCACCAGGAAGGATTCGGGGGTGGACCGACCTCCTACCCTGACACGTCGATTAAGGAATTGGCCGTTTTCGGTTCGCGAGAGGGCGTCGCGGCCGTCATGTTTGCGGGTCCAGGTCCGTCGGTTTCCGTCCCAGGCCGCTTTCACTAAGGGGAGGTCTACTAAAGGGAGGTTTGTCCACCGCCGAAGGATGTCGAGCAACAGGGAAGTGACAGAGCTTGAGGGTTCTGACGTGCCACGCCCTCGGAGGCGACTGGCGTTCGACACTGCGCCAGCGCGTCGGGCAGGCACTGGTTCGGCACCTTCCTGGGTGCCCGGACCTGTGCTTGGGATGTGGCAGGGCTGGACCTAAACAGTGTTTTGGGGATTTCGTGGGCCGTTTTCGTTTCGACTTTGTTTTGCGGTAGAGGTGGATTGAAGACAGAGGGAGGGAAAACGAAAACAAAACGAAAACGAAACACGCCGTTTAGGTTCAGCCCTGGGATGTGGCCCTCAAGGCACGATGGGAACGGCAACACTCTGCGCATCCTCCTCGCCGCCCTCGCCAGCGTTGGCCCGCTCGACCGTGGCCTGCGTGCGCGCCATTCGCCCCCACGCCAGGGCGGAGCGCAGAGAACGAGCCAGGGTGGACTTCGGAGGGGGTCCGGAGACCGCTTTGGACCCGACCCCGGCCCGGGGGAAGGGCAAGACTCAAGTCGGGCCTGTCCCTCTACAGGGGGAGTATTCCAAAATAGTCAAAAGATAGTCTGGGGACTATTGTTGGAGCATTTGTTGGCCATTTGGGAGCATTCTTTGAGTATTGTTTTTTTCGTCCAACATCCCCCTGTAGGGGGACAGGCCCGACCTAAGGTTCTGATGTTCCAGCCTGCTTTTGGCCTTGACCCCCTGACAGAACTTCGGGCACCAGAAACAAGAACACCGCAACGCGATGGTCTGCGCGCGTCGGGCCCTGGGAGACACTCGCCCGGCACTCTTTCGACACTCTTTCGGCCTTCTTTCGACACTCTTTCGACACTCTTTCGGCACTTTTTCGACACTCTTTCGACACTCGTTCGACACTCCTTCGACACTCCTTCGACACTCTTTCGACACCATTTCGACACTCCTTCGACACTCTTGTGGGTGCTCGAACTTATTCCTGGGATGTGGTCCTTAAGTACGATGGGAGCAACAGAAGGCAAGGGTCGAAGGAACAAAACATGATCCTGGCGAAGGGCCCAACCATGTGCAGTTGTGGGCACCGCATCATGAATACAGCTTCGCGGAGCTCCCGATAGGGGCCACGAAACTTGTGAGGGGTTTTCCGAAACGGGGCAGGGCCGCCATGCCAACCCTGCCACCCACTTGCGTTTTCGGTGGAGCTCATAATGCGGCTACGAAACGTGTGAGGGGTGTGCCGAAATTCGGCGGGACCGCCATGCGAATCCTGCCACTGGGGCCTTCGGTGGAGCTCATAATGCGGCTGCGAAACGTGTGAGGGGCGTGCCGAAATGGGGCGGGGCCGCCATGCGGAGCTCCCTATGGGGCCACGAAACACGTGAGGGGCGTGCTGAAATGGGGCAGGGCCGCCATGCAAACCTTGCCACTGGAGCCTTCTGCTGGGCTCCCTATGGGGCCACGAAACATGTGAGGGGCGTGCAGATGATGTTCAGGATGATGATGATGATGATGATGATGATGATGATGTTCAGGATGATGATGATGATGATGATGATGATGATGATGAGGAGGAGGAGGAGGAGGAGGAGGAGGAGGAGGAGGAGGCGGAGGCGGAGGCGGAGGCGGAGGAGGAGGAGGAGGAGGAGGAGGATGCGGAGGAGGATGGTGATGGTGATGGTGATGGTGATGGTGATGGTGATGGTGATGGTGATGGTGATGGTGATGGTGATGGTGATGGTGATGATGATGATGATGATGATGATGATGATGATGATGATACTGATGGTGATGGTGATGGTGATGGTGATGGTGATGATGATGAGGAGGAGGAGGAGGATGATAATGGTGGTGATGGTGATGGTGATGATGATGATTATGATGATGATGATGGTCATGATGATGATAATGATGATGCTGCTGATGATGATGATGATCATGATCATGACCATGATGATGATGACGACTGACGATGACGGTGATGCTGATAATGATGATGATGATGATGATGATGTTGATGCTGCTGCTGATGCTGATGCTGATGCTCATGCTCATGCTCATGCTGATGCTGATGCTGATGTTGCTGCTGTTGGTGATGATGAGGATGATGATGATGATGGTGATGGTGTTGGTGATGGTGGTGGTGGGGATGGTGATGGTGATGGTGATGGTGAAGGTGATGGTGATGGTGATGGTGATGGTGATGGTGATGATGATGGTGATGGTGATGATGACGATGGTGATGGTGGTGGTGGTGATGGTGATGGTTATGATAAGGAGGAGGAGGAAGAGGAGGAGGAGGAGGAGGGATGGTGATGGTACTGATGTGGATGGTGATGGAGATGGTGATTGCGGTGGTGATGGTGGTGACGCTACTGATGTAGTTGATGATGGGTATGAGAATGATGATGATGATGATGATGATGATGGTGGTGATGATGGCGATGACGACGATGATGACGATGGTGATGCTGCTGATGATGGTGATTATGATTCATCATCAACTTCATGGGAGGAGGGTGCGGACGCGGGGCGCTGTCTCTTCAAAACGAGGACCCCAGATCACAGGATGTTGGGGAGCTACGTAAGCATGAATCAGGAGGGAAAAACATACAAACACACACACACAGACACAACGAATCGTCGATCCCCATGAAAGTATGGGAAAATATAGGAAGTCGGGGGAAGAAAAACAAAAACCGAAAATAGGGAAAATACGGGGAATCCTGCTATTTGTGTGTATTTATTTGTGTGTCCCAGGGCCCCTTCAATGAACTTTCTGAGTTCCGCGCGGAGTTTGGGAGTCGCCGCTGGGACCCCCCTGGCGGCGACTCCGCGCGCCATGGAGGGGGGCCTGGCGCCGCCCCACGACACCCGCGCGGACCGCCGAGCGATTGTGTTCCTGCAGCTTCCCTGCCACTCCGGACAGGGTCGGCCACGCGCAGAGGGCCGCAGGGGGCAGGGGGGGAGGGCTTCTCAGGAGCACCCTGCCTCTTAGAAGGTCCTCGCCCTGTCTCTAAACGTAAGGCCGGCGCCTTCTCACACACAGCCTCCCAAGACGCCTTCCCCCCTCCCCCCTGCCCCCCTCTGCGCGCCGCCAGCGAGGGGTGCGGCCTTCCAAGGGGCATCCTTGGAATCAAGCAGTGGCGACGCGTCCTGGTTTTGCCGAATAGGCCCAGCAGAAAATATCATAAGAGCCTTTTATGGTGGGCACGAAGTGCTCTGAGAACATGTCGGGCCAAGACCGTCGTGCTGTAATGCATGGGGTTGATGTTCTGAGGGCATTGTCTCTGAGGTTCGAGCATCTTTGTTCTGAGGCCGTGCCGTGGTAAGCCTGCTGGGAATGCCGGGACGGCGGGCCCCTGTTCCAAAGCTCGCGAGGCGGGGCCAGGGCCGACCTCTGGAGGGTTCCACAAAAGGGGGTTCTGAGGGGAGGGGGCTTTCCAGAGAGCCCCCCCAGGGGCCTCGGAACCTCAGGAGGAGGAGGAGGAGGAGGAGGAGGAGGAGGAGTCAAAACAGGGGTCGGAGGTGGACAGACCTCCTACCCTGACACGTCGATTAAGGCATTGGCCGTTTTCGGTTCGCGAGAGGGCGTCGCGGCCGTCATGTTTGCGGGTCCAGGTCCGTCGGTTTCGGTCCCAGGCCGTTTTCACTAAGGGGAGCTTGATTAAAGGGAGGTTTGTCCACCGCCGAAGGGGGTGCGAAGCCCCTGGGGGATCCCTCCTGGAAGACCCCAACCCCCAAAAGCCCCCTCTGGAGCCTTCTGGAATCTCTCCCGAAAGTGCCCGGAACCTCGTCAAAACGGGGGGTTGCGAAGCCCCTGGGGGACCCCTCCTGAAAGACCCCAACCCCCAAAAGCCCCCTCTGGAGCCCTCTGGGATCTCTCCCGAACGTGCCCAGAACCTCGTCAAAACGAGGGGTGCGAAGCCCCTGGGGGACCCGGACCCCCCCTGGAAGACCCCAACCCCCAAAAGCCTCTTTTGGAGCCCTCTGGGATCTCTCCCGAAAGTGCCCGGAACCTCGTCAAAACGGGGGGTTGCGAAGCCCCTGGGGGACCCCCCTTGGAAGACCCCAACCCCCAAAAGCCCCTTTTGGAGCCCTCTGGGATCTCTCCCGAAAGTGCCCCTGCCCTCGCGGGAGGCCGCCCCCCTCGCCCCGGCCCTGGCCCTCTCGGGGTGCAGACGGGCCCGCGCGGCGGGGCTTCGGGCTGCGCGCAGACAGCCGCTCCAAGCCACCAGGCGTTGCTAGGAGTACCCTTGGGCCCAAGGCACCCTCAGGATTTTCGGGGTGGCCCAGACGG